CACTCAGAGAAGTTAGTCCTAGGCCCAGAAAGATTTCTGTAAAGAGATGATATGGAAAAAGAAACTGGGTCCAGAAAAACAAAGAGGTATGTTTTATTCTAATTATAAAGACAGAAATAACAACATGAAAACTCAACATGAGGCAAAGAAGGCAAGATAAAATACTGAAGGTATACTAGGGAAACACACCAAAAAAGTCAGAAAGGAAAAGGGGTAACAGGTACCTCAAACACAGAGAAAGAAATTATTCTGAATTATTTGGTGAAAATGTCTTCAGTATTGGGAATTAGTAATTCTGAATATATGGGACCCACACCTTTGCCAGTGATGTCCTTGCAGTTCATAGAGCATCTGCTATGACTACACTAAAGAAACACGTGGAACATAGCAGCAAATGAATGACTCTAAGACGCTGCTGGTCCTATCTCTGTGTTGGGAGGGGTTCCTGGCTAAAGAAAAGGTAAAGTGTCCAGTACTAAGATTGATAAAAATAAGTTGCTAACACTCAGGCTTTCTGGCACTGTGGGACTAAGACAAGTCAGTCACGCTGCCTGAGCACTGATCTATAAAGAGTGCTAAAACATCCCTGGAAGAGACCCAAAACATGAGGTCAGTTAACTCTGGTTTCTTCATATGACCCCTTACATTAATGGCAGGAATAAACTGGCTTTACTCTCTTTGAAGTAAACAGAGTAATCTAGAAAAAATGAAGGAAACAAAGCAAACCTTCCTAGGTTTCATTTAGCTAATGTGGCCAAATATCCCTGTTTTCCTGGAGATTCCCAGTTTATGCCTGCTACTTCAGTGTAATTACTAATAGTAATCACTTCCTTTTCAATGTATCCTGGCTTGGAAGATAAATTATGGTCACCATCTATTTAGTCCACGCAACAAATTATTGATTTTAAATAAAAGACTGACAGAGGAGGTGGGACCCCCTAAGAACTGGAATTATCTTTTGGAGGGTGGGTCCCTTGTAGTATACTCAGAAGTTGTTCCTCTGGATCAAATGGTCAACCAAAGTTTTTATATGGAAGAAGGTTGCATCACAATGTGTGGAAGAAACACCTGAGTTGTGGCAAACAGGTGACTGGTTCTTCAGCAGTTTTTAACCAAAAGTGGCAAGACCCCTTTGCCCCACCCTCCCTATTTACCTGATCTTGCCGGAGAGACTCTTCTTTCTGTTTCCCCAGTGAAAAAACCCTCAAAGGGAAATGTTTTGCCCATGTGGAAGAGGTGAAACAAAAAAAACGGCAGAAGCATTAAAAAAACATGAAAACTGATGAGCTCAAAAACCATTCTGAGCAGTGGAAAAGGCAGCTTTATAGGTGTATTCCATCAAACAGAGAGTACTTTGAAGGTGACTGAAGTTTAAACATAGAAGAATAAATATACAACTTTTTATAAATGAACTCTGGTGTTTTTTTGGAGGGGGGTCACCCCTCATATACCTTTCCAGCAGGAAATGTATTTCAGAGTACTCAAGTAGCACTGGCTGAAAGGAGGAAATCTTCTACTTAACAGAAGAGTGCCAATATAGACCAATTGATAAGACAGAAAATCATTATTTTACGAATCCTAATGGTATTTATTGTTAAATCAGGCATGAACTATCAACTGAAATTAAAAACATTCAGTGAAGAGTTGATGGGGAACTGAAGATTGCTCAATGACAAAATAACATGACAAGAGGTTCCACTTCCCTAACAACTGTGGTTAATCTTAACTTCACCAGTCATGGGTAAACCACTGTATGTATCACTTGTAATGCACTGTAGTCACAATGTTAAAGTTGAATCTAATAAAAACTTTACACATAATTTTCAGTTTATAGTAAATCCATGAGATAAAGGAATAAGCTAAATCATACTATGAGAGGCAATCAGGCAAATCTAGGCCAGTCTCTTGAAGATGCCAGTGAAATGCAAGATGGGTCTCTACTAGATTAAAAGAGCCTTAAATGGGTCTCTACTAGAGTAAAAGAGCCTTAAAGGACAGAACAACTAGATGCAATGTGTAATCCTAGTCCTAAAATCAACTACTTCCAAAGGGTATTTTTGAAAAATTTGGGAAATCTGAATATGCACTGAGTATAAAATGATAAAAAGGACTGATTATTAATGTCAAGTATAATGTTGCATTATTTACTATGTAGAAAAATGTCCTGTTTTTCAAAAGAGATGCATACTGAAATGTCTAAGAGTATAAGTACGTGTTATTAGAATTCACTTTATTATTCCAGCATAAAATATGGATAAAAATAATTTAGGCGTATGTACATACACATATATACATATATACAAATTCAGAAAATCAATCTGTCAACTTTCCCACGAGGAGAAAGTAGAAACAATTAAAGAATAATCATTTGAAGGGGCTTAGATCAGCCTGTGACAGATACCTCCACATTTTGGCTGGCTCTGCCAAAGATCGGGCATGTTTCTATTGTAGACTCAGCCTGTACTGACAGAATTCTAAGATGGAGGTTCTTTCCAGGATTACAGCACTGACGGGGGCCCAGAGAACCGGTCTAGCAAGTAGATATGGCAGCATTCCATTCTCCTACTATCTAATGGGTACATATCTAGAAATTCACAAACTTAAAACTGAAGGAATGTTATCAAAGATGTGATGAAGTATTGTCTCAAGAACACATTCACAGTATCCTATACAGGTGTCCTCAGTGCAATGGGCAATCTCTCAGAGGGTCTATCCCAGAAGCAAGAGGCAAACACTATGGTAGGGACCTAATCCTGGTAAGCATAGAATTATTAGACACTGGAGTTCTGATTGCCCAGTAGCAGGACCCTCTGTAGGGAGAACAGTTACAGGTGACAGATAAAGCGTAGAATAAGCAAGGAAGGAAAGAGACACGATTGAAAATAAAAGTTAAAAGATAGAGGTTAGAAGGAAAATGACCAGAGGTGAACAATTTATTAATAAATGTAACTCTGTAATGGAGAATTAGTTAGGAAAGGCCAGGGCAAGGCATCACAGTAGTAAAGCGAGGAATGGAGAAGAATTAAAAGAGAGCCAGAGAGACCCAAAGGTGATGGTGGAGGGGTAAGCAAGCAGAGAAGACATAATGAGCAGAAACAGGGAATGATGGGTGAGACACAGCAGCAACATGGGGAGATAGATGAAATTTGAAATGGCAAAGGAAACAGAAGGACAGATGGGGCAGGGAGTAAAAGAAAGACAGCTGGTCAAAGGTTGAGGGGGCAGAATTTGGAACAAACAAGAGCTGAATGCATCTTTTTCATCACTGTACTCAGAGAAACTTATACAGTGGGAGCCCAGGAGGAAGGAGTGAAGGGAGGAAGGAGAAACGGAGGGAGGATAGATGGGAGGGATAAAAGAAGGAAGGAGAGCAGAGAAGGACTAGGAATGAGAAGAACATGAGGCTCTAGAAAGTGTGGAAGAAGGAAGAAGCGAAAAGGGAATGAGGAAAGCACACATTTCAGAGGCACAAAAAGGGGCTAATACTAGTTAAAAATGTTAAAGACATGGTGCTCATGAGCATTCCACGTCACATTCCAGAACTACATATAGTTCCAATTTTCCATAAGAGTACAAGAGAAACCCGGTGTGGTGGTGGCTCATGTCTGTAAATCCCAGCACTTTGTGAGGCTAAGTCAAGAGGACCGCTTGAGCCCAGAAATTTGAGAATAGCCTGGGCAATAAAGTGAGCCCTTGTCTCTACATTAAAAGAAAAAATCAAAACTATTAGCTGAGCATGGTAGCGTGCACCTGTAGTCCCAGCTACTCAGGAGGCTGTGGTGGAAGAATCACCTAAACCCAGGAAGCTAAGGCTGTGATGAGCTGTGACTGTACCACTGCACTCCAGCCTGGGCAGCAGAGGGAGACCCCTGACTCAAAAAAAAAAAAAAAAAAAAGAATACAAAAATATTTTGATCAGGCAACATTCCTGTGGCTGATGTGAACCATAACTTATACAAATGCCTGGAAGTAAAATGAAAACACAATTAACTTTATTGAAAAAAGCACATAGCTCTTGGCTCTTCCAACACACTACTGAGTGATGTCAATCAGCCTATCAGTGCTCCTTATTTTCCCCAAGGGTCTGTTCTGCTTTATCATGTGAACTGGCCTAAGGCTGCTGAATATTTCCCACCCATTCTTCTGTCTGCTCACAACCAAAATGAGAGGCAAATGCTGGATTAAGATAATTAATGTAGACAGAAATCTGGCTAAATACTACAAACATAAAAAAATCCACCTATTATTCAGGCGCCTGATTATCTAGTTTTGCTGACTACATTGATTTACATTAATCCACTGCCTGCCAAATCTTTATTTTCTTTCTGTAGGAGAGATTTTATCTAGAGAATTAATAGAGCTCTAGAATGCAAATCTTTCCCAGGACATACAAGTTAGATTGACAGCTCACAAAATGAATCTGGAATGCATGCAAAATTAGACTCACACGCACAATTTTCATGCAACTAAAAACCCATCCATCAACATAAGAGTGGCTCTCAGAAAGCAGTCAAGGTTCTGGGTCTGAAAACTCGAAACTAGGAAGTCTGATGTTTTAGGAAGCCATAATAAAATACAAATACATATTTTTGTTTGTGGTTTCTAATGTGTGTAGGTGTTTTCTAGCACATGAATAAAATCAGAATTTGTATAAAAAATTATTAAAGGATTTCAAATCACAATGGTGCATGTGTTTGAGAATTACTAGTTTGCAATTTGGGGGAGGAGATAGGTTGGTGAAATCAGATTCCTAGAGTCTTCAGTTTGTTTTTCAAACAGAAAACAGTAAAACAGATATTCTCCCTTACTCATTATACCAGTGCCTTACAATATAATCTAGATTTATGAGGTTGGCATAAGTACAATATCAATACTTCCTAACTTTGAAGTTTGAATCAGACTATATACACAGCACAGAATGCAGAAGTTATGATAATCGCAGAGCACTTCCATATAATTTAAACAGAAAGATCCAAAGGGCCTCCTAGATGGATACTCACTATTTGGTAGAGTCAGATAACTGATATTCTCGTCGTCTATCATAGCATTCCTGGATTCCAGGATCATTCCATAAACTCTTTATTGCATCTACATATGGATTCTCAAAAGCAGACACCTTCTCCACATCAACTTCTCGAACTAATTGTGCATGAGCCTGTTTAAGTAAAAACAAAAAGCACAGCAGTTTTAATATCCTTTCCATTACTTTCCAAATTGTCTTTTGTTTGCATTTATATCGCACATAGTTCAGGTAAGATTTTCTTTCATATACTGGCTTTCAAACTGGTTTATGACAAAGTAATGCTTCATATTTTTTGTTTTTCTTAGAGAGGACCCAGACCCAAATCTTTCCCTCTAGAGTAAACCTTGCAGCTACTACAAGTTGATTGGAGGAAACTAGAGGAAACCAGCATGTCCAGCTCTCCCATCTGAAAAATGAGAACGTCATGCTGCATATATCACTGCTCTCAGGTATGATCATAATCCTACAACAGTTATTAGTAAAAGACAGGGCTGGGTTCCGTAGATCACATCTGCAATTCTAGCACTTTGGGAGGTTGAGGTGGAAGGATTGCTTGAGTCTAGGAGTTTGAGACCAGCCTGGGCAAGATAGCAAGACCCTATCGCCACAAAAAGTAAAAAGAAAAAAAACACTAGTCGGGTGTGATGACACATGCTTGTAGTCCCAGCAACTTGGAAGGAGACTGAAGCAGACAGATCACCAGAGCCCAGGAGTCAAGGCTGCGGTGAACTGTGATGGTGCCACTGTACTCCAGCCTGGCCGACAGAACGAAACCCTGACTTACAAGAAAAAGGACAAGAGTAATTATTCCCTCTATCTTTATAGTTTATTATAATCAAACGCATGATATACCCAGCCTATGGGTGTTATATATCTTAGCAGAAACACAATCAGAATTCTCAACTAATCAGGATCCATATCTATTGTTCAATTTTGAGATAAGGTATAAAACCGCTAAAAGAACGTGTACTATTAATAATTTAATTGAGACAACAGTAACAATTCACCGCTCCCAACTTCTAAAACATGCATTTTATATCTGTCTTATCTACATTATCAGTTTGAGGACCCCATTCAATTTTTTAACAATGGAAAAGAACTCTGCTCTCTTCGTCTACTTTTAGCAGCAGAGATGAAAAAATTCTTAAAACAAGATTGAAATAAAAATATTTTATGTCAGTCCTCAAATTAGCCAGAATACACCACTGGCTAGCAATCTCAATAAAACTAGGTTTTATGAAATATAATATATATACAAATTATGCCTGTATATAAGTATGCAAATAAACACAAATAACTAATTATCTTGGAAATTGAAGGCAGATGGTTGATAATTACTGAAACAGTTCTGATTTCGTACTGAAATACAAACTTTTAAAACAATGTTAGTAAATGGCTATCATGATGATATCATGGCCAAATTATTCATTTCACAGAGTATTAAGTGGATAAAATTTTAATGAATTTAATCCATGTTAGGCTCTGCTTAGTTCCCAGTCTTCACCTTCCTTCTCTTCACATATGTGGGAAGGGCCCCCATGCCAATAGACTAATCTTGACTTAAGGTTTTTTAAGAAGCTCAACACACCGAGACTCAAGAAATCACCTATTATAGTTTGTGACAACTGGATCTGGTAACTGAGAAACCCTAGCTCTACTCTGGACCCTGATTTTGGAAAATGAATCTCTGTAGTTGCTTTCTGTACTTAGTCCTTTGTTACCCCACCAAGTGATCTCACCAGCTGGAAGTCCAGTTTCTGAATTCCACTCCAGGTGGGTCCTACCTCAATCATAGTTCCCTGAGACTCACCCTTTGAAAACAGAGTATCACTGGCTCCTCAATGAATCTCCAGTGCTGTACTCTGTTGCTCTCGAGTACCTGTTACTCCATGCTGACTCCCCTGGATTCCCAGGGACTATACTGGCTCCATCTACTCTAGGCAGAGTAGAGTACTGGTACTGCACTGGACCTGTTCCAAGCAGATAGGACTTCCTCCACTCTGCCCTTGGCACGTACATCTATCTAATGTCAAGTTTCATCTAACACCAAGTTTCAACCCTTCCCTTTTGGCCTTTGCTCATGGAATCTGAACAAGTTCAAAGTTCTCTTGTATCCTCAGATTTGACAATGACACCCCTGATATCATCCTAAATTAAATTCCCCATAGCTACATCTCTATTAGAGGCTTTCTTGAGGATTCTGTGAATCTGGGGGGGGGGGTAGGGGGTAAGTAGGGATATATGCAGGGTGGCTTCCTGCTGAATTTAAAGTCATGGTTTTGAATATGACTGCTTCTTCTTGTGACCCTGGGTAAGCTGCTTGATCTTTTCAAATATTACTTTTGGTGAACAATACTGTTCCTCCATAGCCTCATGTGGCTTTATATAAATCAGTTACAATACTGTTTGTCAATAGTTCTCAAGAGCAGCCTGTAAACCCAGCAGCATCACTTGACACCTAGGAATTTGTTAGAAACGCAAATTCATTGATCCCGCCTCAGACTTGCATTATCAAAAACTCAGCAATCCCTGTCTTAAGATGCCTTACGGATGAGTCTGATGTATGCAAAAGTTTGACAACCACCGCAAACCATAAAGCGCCACATAGATACAAGTTGTTGTGAGAACAAAATCTGGAAAATGGGAGACGGGTGTTAATGAATGAAATATTTTCCAGCATTTTACTACAATGATATTTAGACAAACTATTCTATTGTGCATAGGGAGAAATAGTTGAGACCCCTTTCTGAACTGGGTCAATGCTACATGATGACACTCGTCAGTGTGGGTAGTATTTCTAAAATGAACTTGAAACTCACTACACTAACCCAGCCTGTCATTTGGAGTTCTGTTTCTGCTTCTGAAGCAGCTTTCTTCTGTAAGACAGATATTTCAATATACTGAACACTTCTCACTACTATGATCAAATGTTTATTGGACCCCTGTGAGATGAATGCTGCAATGAGGGAATTTATTTCCTGTCCTGTGTGTGATATGTTATGCGTACGTACTCTGTGTATAAAAACACAAAGGATATTTGCATTTCTAGCCTAAATACTAGTTTACTCTAATGGCATTTAAATAAATCCAATGTCTTCAAAGGCATATAAGGTTGTAACTTTCCACAAGGAGACTGCTTTTGTAAAATGAAACTTTCTGTTGCCCAAAACTCCGGTAATTTTCTATCTTGTTTTTTCTTACATTGAAGAATGCCTTTCCTCTTTCTTTTTGTACCTTTTAGAAAGAACTCTTGTTTAGGTGCTGTATCATATGCCATCTCTTACAGGAAGTTCTTCCTGATTTTCTTCCTCCCTCAAAAGAAAAGGAATCTTTGTGTCCCTTGAACCATGAAACGTCTGCATTTTCTTTTATGTTAATATGTATTGTTTTAACTTACCCTTCTTCTAATTACACACCGATGAAAAGGGTTGTGGTTGAAAAGCTCTAATTTCTTCTGGGATCCAGCATGGAGTGACCATACAACAAACATCTGTCCAATTCAATTGCATTTAAAAAGCACTTAAAAATATAATGCCAAGATGAGTCAAGGCAGTTTCTCAAGGAAATCTGCCACCCATTTGCTACTCTCATAGGACTATCAGTCCCTAACAACATTTAGTTCAGTAGTTAGGGTACAGGTATTTGTGTGATATTAGTATCTTCATCCCTAATTACAGTATAAGTTCCAAGACAAGCTCAACATTACATTACCAGGACTTAGTAAACTGCCTTACATTGGATCAATGCTCAATAAATATTTGTTGAATGAAAGATGAAAGTGAGAAAGAAAAGAAGAGTAGAAATTGAACTAGGCTGGAAATCCGGACATTCAACTTCTAGTTCTGGCACCACTTACAATATAATAATTTATCTTATAACCCGTAGGAGAAACTACTTTCCTTCTTTATAATGTAATTTTTCCTGTCTGTAAGATAAGGCAATTGAACCAAATTAGGGTCTCATCTAGCCATAAACTGTATGATTGTAAATAAATGATAAATACATCTACAATGCACAGAGCACCAAAGAGTTATAACACTCTAGGAGTACACAGTATCATTCAGTGAAACAAAACCTCACTGTTTCAAACAATGCCTGATGATACAGGGCAGAATGTAGTTAATGCACACAATCAATGCTACAAAGAGATGGAGCAAATAACTCAGCATGGACCGAGGAGGTCAAATGTGGCGTCAGAGAGGAGACAGGATTAACTGACAGGTGAAGATGAAGATGCACAACACCTCCAGGGGAGTGGAACAGCATAAACAAAGGCTTGGTGGACAAAATAAACACAGTATGTTCTTATTTATTTATTTTTATTTTTGAGTTGGAGGCTCACTCCGTCACCCAGGCTGGAGTGCAGTGGCACACTTACAGCCACCCAGTATCAATCTGCTGGGCTCTGGCGATCCTTCCGCCTCAGCGTTTCAAGTAGCTGGAACTACAGGCGCACGCTACTACACCAGCCTAATTTTTTTTAATTTACTGTAAAGACGAGGTCTCACCAAGTTGCCCGGGCTGGTCTCGAGCCCACAGGTTCAGGCAATCCCCTTGCCTTGGCCTCCCAAAGTGCTGGGATTACAGGTTGAGCTACTGAGTCCGGCCTATTTTATTTTTAACAGAGACAGGATCTTGCTGTGCTGTCCAGACTGGTCGTAAACTCCTAGCCTCAAGTGGTTCTTCTTCCTTGGCCTCCCAAAGTGTCGGAATTATAGGCGTGGGCCACTGCACCCAGTTGGCACTTTCTTATAACTGAGAAAACCAGTCTTGTAAGCAAGTTTTATGTTGACTCTTAATTCTAATTAACCTCTACAGTGCAATTTATAATATTTGTTTCTGCTATAAACCTGTAACTTAGAAGTCAACCTCCAACAAAACTAAGAAAGAATATCATCCTCAAAAACACAGCAATCACCATGTTGTCTTCATCCAGGTCAGGATTTCTAAGTAAATTTTACTGTCTCCTAAGTTTCGTTGTTTAATTCTATCCTTACTGTTTTGGAAAATGACATTCAGATATAATCAACCATAATTTGCATTTATGTAAGAGCTTTCATCTGAAGTTTCTCTAAGTTATTTAAAAGTATGACAGCATTTTACAAATATACACAGAATTTTTAAATCGTTGA